CCCTCGATCCCCGTGTCCGCACTTGGGCTTGTCTGTCCTTGGCCCTCGATCCCCGTGTCCGCACTTGGGCTTGCTCCACACACACCTCTCCCCTCCCGTCTCCAGCTGCTCCGCAGCCTGGCTGCCCACAGTCTAAAGAGTCTTTTCAGGAGGTTGAAAAACAGACAGAGCCCAGTAACACAAAGAGCCAGCACCCAGCATCCTTCAAAGAGAAGGGAATGTTCATGTTCTGCCTAAAGTGGAATTTCCGGGATGAGCGAGGAAGATCCTCGTGGTCCCAACCCCGTGTGGCCGAGAGGAAGCCCCGTGGGGAGCGGGGGATGGGGTTTGCCTGCCGGGGTCTTCTGATCTTCGCCATCTTAACTGTTTTTAAGTGTGCATTTGGGGGGTGTTGCTGTTATGTGCCATCGAGTCGGAACCGACTTGTACCCGAACCTCCACAGGGTCTGTAAATCATGAGGGAAGACGTTGCCCACCCTTCTCCCAAGAAGCAGGTGGTGGATTCTAACCCCTTAACTTTGGGTTGGCAGAGAAACTCCTTACCACTGGGCCACCAGAGCTCTCTGTGCATTTTGGTAGCTCTGACTATGTGCATATTATGCACTCATCACCATGGTTTCCAAAACAGTTTCATCCAAAGCAAAACGGCAGCTGTGAGTTGCTGTCAAGTGGTCTTGACTCCTAGCACCCCGTGGACACTGGACCCCAGCTGTGCTCAGTGCTGCAGACATTGCGTCCGTCCAGCCATTGAGGGTCGCCTCTCCATTACTGACCCTCTGCTTCTCCAAACCTGATGCCCTTCTTCAAGGACTGGCCCCTTCTGACAACATGTCGCTTTCACAGTACCCTCTGTCCTCCACATCCCTGGGAGCCACCAGCCTGCTTTCTGTCCGGTCTGTCTGTCCCATCAGGATGCTTCATAAGTGGGGTCACCTGCTCATTCCTCTGCATCTGACACACTTCACGTAGCATCATGAGGTCAGGGTTCATCAAAGATGTCACTCCTGATGCTAGACATGGCTAAGATGCCTCGTCTTAATATTCTCGCCGAAAGGATAACTTGCTTATTATGTGAGCAGAGATTCGCTTTTAAAGAAAAATTCATGACAAGACATGTTCACTACTTGGTCAGCTCTTAGGCCTTTATGCCAGTGTAGGAAGCTTCCATTTCCAGCACAATAAATGCTCCTTGTTTGTGTTCAGTGCAGCTTTCATGTGGGGTCAAGCGCTGCAGGTCCTTAGAGAGGGTGGACACGTGTACATCCACAGCCATTCAAATCCGCGTCCCGGCGTGGCCGGTGTCGGCAACTCCTTCCAGCTCTCCAGACATGTCTGCGCCAGCCCATGGTGTGGGCACGTCTGGCCTGACACCTAAAGGCTACGACTTTGCACATGAGACAGCGGGCACAGTGTAGTCAGGTCTGGGAGCTGTCTCTGCCATCCTCACTGTCCACCCGTGTGTCCTGCGGGGACTTGCAGGTGGCTCTGACACCGAACGCTGTGCCACCAGCACTTCAAATGCCAGCAGGGTCGCCCCTGCGGACTAAGAGATCAGGAAGAGAAGTCTGGCAATCTACTTCCAAAAACTTGCCAGTGAATGCCTACTGGCCACAGAGAACACTGCCCGATCTGGAGCTGGACACAGTGGCCACCACAGTGGACCCTCAGACCAGCCGCGGTGAAGACGGCGATGTGCTGAGCACCGTCGCGCTTTGTTATCCATGGGGTGACGTGAACCCTACTCGAGTGAAATACAGCTGATGGTTCTCATGGCGGTGACACTGGACGAGAACACAGGGACACAGGGTCCAGGGCCCGTGTCATGGGAAGTGAAGCTGACAGGCAGCTCAGGGCCAGGCTGGGATGCGGACCCCAGTCTCAGGCCAGCATTTGCCCCGTCCTGAGGAGCGCTCCCTGTCGGGTCGGTAGCTGGCAGAGAGAGGGGCTTGGCGTGAAGGAAGCTGGGAAGCGCTGGCCGTCAAGGCGTTTTCTGTCACCGCGACCGGATTTGCACAGTGAGTTCAGTCTCCTGGCTCGAGTCCACCAGTGGTCCCTCAGGAGAAAGAGGGACAGTGTCCTCCTCTGCAGTGACAGCCTTGGAAGTGCAGTGAGGGCCAAGGAGGGTCAGCTGTGGCCTAGAACGGACTGGGCAGTGGTGAGTTAGAATGTGAGTTACGTGTGGAAATTGGCCCATGAGTGAGGCCGGGAGAAGCGCGGAGGCCCTCAAGTGGTGGCCCTGGCGAACAGCAAGGAAAACCGGGCGCCGGGAGGAATCAGCGTGTCCTGGAGGAAATGTAGTCTGAAGGTTCTTCAGAGGCAATGTGGTGACCTTCATCTCGCGTACTTTGCATCATTGCTGGAGGAGCCGGTCCTTGGAGCTGGACATCACGCTTGGTAACGAAGAGGGTCGTTGAAGAAGAGGACGCGCAGTGAGAGGTGACCTCGCTGCCGTGGGCTGTCACACAGCAGAGCTGGCGAGGCTGCTGCAGGGCCCAGCGTTACCTTCACTGACCAGGAAGGAAGGGTCCCTGTTCTCAGCACTGACCTGACGGCTCTGGACAGCGACAAGGGCACGGTCAGATCTCAGGGTGTGTAATCCGAGCAACCCAGAGAGCTTTGTGGGGATCCAGCAGGGGACCTGGCCCAGCATTTCCTGGGGTTCCTGTAGGGTCATGTGCCGGGTCACGGGGCCTGGGCCAGGTCATGAAGGGGGAGCCTGGGAGGCAGCATGACCAGCCCCCCACACCCCCGCCTTTGTCAGCTGCGCACAGGGGAGGAGGGGCTGGAAGGACCGACAGTGACCAGAGACTCTTATTGTCCTCCAGTGGACTGCAGAAGTGGGGCCGGAGCAGGGCAGGGGGTCATGTGAGCCCCAGAGTTCGTTCTGTGGCCTGACAGGGCAGGGGGACAGGAGAGCTACCTTAAGTCCCAGGTCCTAACAAGGGCATAGGAAGGGCAGCAGCCTTAATCGCGGCGTGGGAGGAAATGGAGCAGCCTGGGGTAGGCTGCACCTTGCATCTCTGGCTTCCGAGGCTGGTGGTGTGTCCAGGTGAGGCCATGCACTTGGCTGGGGAGGGGTCTGGGCTGAAATGAGCTCAGTCAGCCAGTGTGAAGCCGTGGGCCCTGCTGGATGGGAGAGGTGGGCCACTGTGGCAGCAGGCAGGTCCTCCCAGTGCACCTGCTGAAGTCATGAACTCAGTCCTGTTCTCACCTCCACGTCCAGGGTGACAGACGCAGGGAAGTGTCCCAGCTCTTCACAGCTGTCGGGCCCACGTGGGGGCAGCTTTGTGGACCAGGTGCTGTGGGTCTCACTGGTGGAGCTTCAGCAGATGGTCAGGTGTCTTTGTGTGGACGCTCTGTGGAAACCTGTCAGCGTCCCAGCCTTGGCTGGCGGTGGTTGTGACTGCCCATGAGGAACACTGGCCAGGACTCGAACCCGTGTCTCCCACGTGGACATCGGTGTTCTACCCACGCACCACTGCTGTCCGGGCCTCTGGAGAATGCAGGAATGCTAACCATCTCCATAAGCAGTTTCACTGTTCACCTCCTTGGCAGGACACACGAGGGCCGGAGGGGCCCTGTCCACCCCGTGTGGCCCATGGAGAGCTCCTGGAGAGAGGACCCTGGCGTTGAGCACTGGGCACGAGGGGCAGCTGCCCACGCTGGCACCAAGCACTTCTGAGGGTGACTGCTGTTCTGAGAGGAGCAAAGAGTGAAACACTAAAACCCTTCACAGCAAAAACACACGACGCAGAGGGGGCTCTGAGCGAGGTCGGGAGGCAGCCGCGTGTCTAAAAAGGCAGGGCTTCTCCAGCACTTTCAAGCCACCAGTGACTCCAAGGATGAGGGAGACGGGCACCTCCTCCACACCTCCAGTCTCACAAACCCACGCAGGGCGGCTCTACCTCAGGGCCAGGGAGTTTTGGTTTCATGGGAAAGAAGCACCTTGGACACCCTGCAGGCCGCCATGCTCTGTCCACCGGCTCACCACGAGGCCGCGTGGCTGTGGGTGTGGGGTGGCTTGAGACAGGCTGAGACCCCCATCTATGAGGAGAGAGAGGTGCAGTGTCTGTGTGTCTGTGCCCGTCCGAGGTGTGTCCCACCAGGTGGGGAGGAAGGTGCAGTGGTCACTTCATACAGGTCCAGTGTGCTCCCAGGTGAAGACCCTGGACTTGGGCTTTGAGGTGACACTCGGGTCAGGAGTCTGATGGCCAGTGTTGGGAGTTCAGTGCTTGCTGTGGGGCTGTGTTCTGTAGATGCCACTGTGTCCAGTGTTTTCCCTGGGCTCTGCTGACCACGCAGGGTGGCCACTCTGGAAGCTTTTGCTGTGACTTTCCTGACTTTGAGTCACACCTGACCCTGTGACCAAGGGTTCAGGAATCCTGCCTGATGAAGTCCTCTTTGGAGTGGAGCTCCTGCTAATCATCTTCAGCTCAACCCAGCATGGCCCGGTTCTGCCTGAGAGGGTTATAGGGGGTGCTGGTGCCCCACTCTTATCCCTATCCACACCCAGCATGGCCTGCCTCGGTCCAGGAGGGGTGCAGGGGGCGCTGGTGCCCTAAACTTGTCCCTGTCCACACCAGCATGGTGCAGCCTGGTCCAGTGGGGATCCAGGGGGTGCCAGTATCCCCCTGCTGGTGCCTGTCCACCTTTCAGCAGCTTCTCTGGGCCAGGTGGGGTGTCTGGGAGCCCCTGCCTGAACTGACCCCAGTCCTTGCCCACAGGGGTGCTGTTTAGCATCGAAGTCACCTCCACCTACTTTGCTGTGCGCAACTACTGGCGGGGCTTCTTTGCAGCCACCTTCAGTGCCTTCGTCTTCCGCGTGCTGGCCGTGTGGAACAAGGATGCTGGTAACGGGGGCCTGGGGACAAGGACGCTGGTGACGGGGACACTGGTAACGGGGTTACAGGGACAAGGACGGTGGTGATGGGGACACTGGTAACGGGGTTACAGGGACAAGGACGGTGGTGACGGGAACACTGGTAACAGGGTCATGGGGACAAGGACGCTGGTGACAGGGACACTGGTGACAGGGTTACAGGGACAAGGACGCTGGTGACGGGGACACTGGTAACGGGGCCTGGGGGACATAGGATGTTGGTAATGGGGAACATGGAGGACAGTGTAGGCAATGGGGGCTGTAGGGACAAGGACGCTGGGAACGGAGACCGTGTGGTCTGCAGGGTGCTGTGTGCTGTGAGGACACGTGGTGCAGCTTTGGGAATCAGCTCAGAAAAGGGACAGTACCGTGGTTTGGGGGTGACGGAACTGGAGGGTGGTGTCTAGACCCAGGTAGAGGTGACGAGGAGGACAGTCTTGAGTAAGGGGTCGGCCAGGAAAGGGGAGCCGGGCTGCTGGGGCCTCAGCCTGACGTCCTCTTCCGCCCCACCTGCCACAGTCACCATCACTGCGCTCTTCAGAACCAACTTCCGGATGGACTTCCCCTTCGACCTGCAGGAGCTCCCAGCATTCGCCCTCATCGGGTGTGTGGGTGCTTCCTGGGGGGTGGAGGCAGTGTGCCCCTCAAGGGGACAGGCACAGGTGGGGGACAGGAAAAATGGGAGGCAAAATGGGTGGGGAACAAGAGAGGTGGGGACAGGATAGGTGGGGAACAGGACAGAAAGTGACAGGACGGGGGGACACAGCAGGTGGAGGGCATGACAGTGTGTGTGACAGGACAGGTGGAGACACAGACAGGCAGGGGTAGAGCAGGTGCAGAGCAGTGTCTACCTGCAGTGGTCAGGTGGGGGAGGCCCGAGCTGTGCGTTGCGTCTCCCCAGGATCTGCTGCGGCTTCCTGGGAGCTGTGTTCGTGTACCTGCACCGCCAGGTCATGCTGGGCGTTCGCAAGAACAAGCTTCTGAGCCGCTTTCTGGCCAAGCAGTGAGTCCTGCCCTCTCCCGTCAGCCGCCCTCCAGGGCTCCACTTTGCAGCGCCCTGACTCTGGGTGGGGGTGGCAGAGAAGGGCACCCACTGTGCGTGAGGACCCCGGGTCCAGTGTGTGGGGACCACGTGGTACGGTGCCCTGACAGCACACCCACCATACTCACTTGCTGCTGCCTGGAGCGTGTTCACGTGCCGGCCACGCGTCAGTGGGGGCGCTCCCGCGAGGTCACCTCACCTGCTTCGTGGACGCCCCACCCTGTGAGGGGCCGTGTCCTGTGGAAGAGCATGTGACCCTGTAGGATGGTGCTGTGGGGCTGGTAGAGGATACGCATGTGCACACAGAGGCAGAGCCTTGGATGGGGCACATGTGAAGCTGTTGACGGCGTCTTCTCAAGCTTAGTGATGGACCATATTCCAGGAGGCCCAGGAATATCCCTAACTGTCTTCCCGATGCCCATGGGGAAGGCGGGTCAGTGTGGTGTCCGTGTGTGGACTGCAGAATGTCATCAGCATGTCGGGGGGGGGGGAGTGTGGGTGGCCAGCGTGGGAGTGTTGTGTGTGTGTGTACGACACTGTGATGAAGGGTCAGCGTGAGTACGTGTATAGGCTACAGTGTGGATGGTCAGTGTGTATGTGTGGACTACACTGTGGATGGTCAGTGTGAGGGCTGTGTGTGTATGACACTGTGGACAGCCAATGTGTGGCGTGTGTGCTGACCACACTGTGGATGGTCAGCATGTGTGTGAGGACTATACTGTGATGGTCAGCGTGGGGGCTGTGTGTGTGTGTATGACCTGGATGGTCAGTGTGTGCTGACCACACTGCAAATGGCCAGCGTAGTGAGTGCCTGTATGTCACTGCAGAGAGTTGATTCGTATAGATTACACTGTAGACGGTCAGTGTGTGTGTGTGTGTGTGTGTGTGTGTGTGTGTGTGTACTACACTGTGGACGGTCAGTGTGTGTGTGTGTGTACTACACTGTGGACGGTCAGTGTGTGTGTGTGTGTACTACACTGTGGACGGTTGTGTGTGTGTGTGTACTACACTGTGGATGGTCAGTGTGTGTGTGTGTATGTGTGTGTGTGTGTGTACTACACTGTGG